GTATTTTAGATGATCATGACCACACAATGTTAGATCATGCTAGTCTTATGGCGCTGGCGCCACCATTTGCTTCACCTCCAAAATCCGGTATTTTTAATGTTTCCATGACAGGAGAACAGGCATTTCCTGTAGTTCTTACATTGTGTGAGTAATTCCCTTGTTATTATTTCTTACTTGCCAAGATTATGACTTTACTATTAGAAATATCATTCATGATTATTTATAGTGGTATTGTTATCAAGTCAAGTTTTTTCTGGGAATTTAAGGAACTGCAGTCATTAATAGAAGTTTGCAGAGTTCCTTATGCACATACCTAAACCATACATGATATAAGTTGGTATTCTAAGACTACATGTAGACTAGAACATACTGATTGTCTTGTAACAATATTTTTTATATGTTATTTTCAGCTTCAAGTCCTGAAGAGAACAGAGAAACTGCTAAACTAGCTTTAAGAAATGTATTACGGAAATCAGGAGGGGAATCACCTACAGAACCATCCTCTGATTTTAGTTTTTATGACAAGCGAAATCTGATCCCTTATTGAATATAGAATTTCCACCTACTCCCAAACATACTGATGATTCTGTTTTCACCTTTGATAGAAATTTCAATCAAACTCTGTCGTCAAAACAACCTGTAAGAAAATGTCTATCTGAAGAAATCAGATCCCGAACTAATTCTCAGGATCCAGTTGACAGTTCACTTACTCAATCTGTATTAGATAATGAAAAACTTTTATCTGAAACTAAAACTAACGTTAATAATTCTGGAAAATCATTGTTGGTTAAAAATACTCATAAAAGATCAAGGTCAGATCTAAGTGGTATCAGCATCAAATCTCATTCTAATCAGTCATTGGTGGAAAGTTCTGATCAAGAGGCTCATTCAGACTCTACATTGGTTGACACAACTAATTCAACAGATGTGTATGATACAGGTAAGTGTAACCAATGCAACATTCAATGCTTAAGATTGATTTTCAACGTATTTACCAATGTATGAGAGCAAAAGTCAATTTGAAAGTATACTTATGATATAAAGAAACATCATATATTTTAGACATAATTATGTACCATTTATTGGCCAACTAATCACTTCCACTTCTGAGAGTGAAAATCTGACATCTTATGTATCTCAATGAAAAATTTAACACTCTTTTGTCATTGTTTCCAGTAACTTTTCATTTCATTGTTTTTAAACCAGATGTTAGTTTTTCATTTATAAAATGGATAAGACACTAAATCAAGGTTCAGATTTTCTTACATAGTGGCATTTAATGTTCAATATTTAAACTCTACATACACTTTTCATAAAGACTATAGTTTATGAATACATGTACAAAAATTTGTATTATTCTGCTTTCTAGCTAAGTCATTACAATATATATTTATGGTTTTGTTGTGATATCTTTGTAGGATGGAATCGTGTAGATGGTATATTACAACCACCAACACAGGGACAGTCTTTAATGAGTTATCTCTCTTCTCAAGATTTTCATACTTGTGCTAATCTTGATAAGGTATTTATTATTTATTTCATCTTAATTAGTGAATCTTTTCATTATCCCATCTAAACCTTCACTGTACTAATTTCCATTTAAACAGCCTTAACATTAGTGAGCACTGCTTTAACCCTGTGCAAGTGCCTTCTGTTGAATAGTCACCCGTTACCTTTCAACCACCCTAATCTTTGTCTTAACAACAAATGAAGTTTAAGTTTACATCAATGCATGTACCTATTGCCCATATGCTCAAACTACCAAATAGAAACAGAAAAGAAATCATTTTCCAATTTTTTTTTTATCATTTCAGGAAAATGCCCATTTTAGTATATCTGAAGCTTTGATAGCAGCTATTGAACAGATGAAATGGAATCATGTTATAAGACCATCAAAAGATTCTGATATTGAGGAAGAATCAGATGAAGAAATTCAACAACTTAGACAACGTATTAGAATTAGACGTAGAGAACGATTATCAGAGGTATAGATCACTTTTATGTTTTGGACATCAAACTTTTACTGCTCCAAAGACCTTTTCTTCTATACAGATAGACCTATGAAGGAGAAACTTGGTTTTGATGCAGTTATGCTTTATACAATCTTGATTGGTTTTTGTAAGGGCAGTAATTTGAAAACCATGTTTTAAGATATACTTAATATTCATACTGATACTACTATATATCATTCAGATATCAACAAGACTGGTTAAAACTATAAACTTTATATTTTAGAAAGCAAGAGGATTTCCTGCTTATAGTGATGGAAGAACAGACAGTAAGATATCTATTCTTTTAAATATCTTTCCTTTTAGCTTTGTAATTTTATGTGTAATGTTGTTTTGTTTTTTCTTCTAGGATGGCTTCACATTATTTGAAAATCTAGCCTTTTAGTCTCATAACAAGTGAATATATAAATGTGAAGCCACCCTAGAATGTTCTAAATGTTTCTTGTTTCTGTATATTTAAGTAATTATTTTGAACACCCTTTCTTTTATAGTATATATCTTTGGTTGAATATCAAGTCCACTGATTCTAAAATCCTTTGAATTTAAACTTGTTACAAAGTGCTGCATAATCTGGATTATCCAATTTTCATTGAGTTTTGATGCATCTAAACTGTTTTTTTTCGAATTTTGTATATGACTACCTGCTAAGCATCTATGAAAAGAGCCCCCAATGTAATATAGTTACATCTAATATAGACCTCTATTAATTTGTAAAATATATATAGTGTTATTTTATAATATATTTCATATATATGTATCATTATTTATATATTATATTATTATTTATACCAGCTACTCCTAGTGCCAGTACATCACCATTTAGTTCACCATATGAATGTTCTAGTCAGTCAGGTGTGTTTCTATTCTCTATCATTGTTATTATTTTATTTCTTTTTTCTTGTTTAGCATGTGTTTTTGAGTATTTATTATTTCATGGATAAAGTGATGTGATTATTCAATCTTCAAATATATATGTTTTGTTTCGTCTATTGACTGTGACAAAACCAAACACTTTTAGTAAGATTGAAGAGGGACAAGTAAATTATTATGATAACAATTTACAACTTTGTTAATGACTTAAAATGTAATTCTATTTTTAGATAGTTCTGATTCTAGTGAAGAGGTGGATGATGAAGAAATAGAACTCAATTGTAAGTTTGTATGACTTTGTTATTTTTAAATGGTTTAATTGATAGGTATAAAAATGATTCATTATCTGTTCAGTAAATGGTAGTTAAAGAAAAAAATTAAGATACAAATTCTTTCAATTTTTAATGACTAATTTATTTGTGAATATTCAATATATCCCTTGTTATGTCCAACCATGTGAATCAGTCATTCAGACCTAGCAAGCACATCTACCTATCAACAACCCAGATCATTGTCACTACCTAAATGTCATCAGAAATCACTCTAAATCCAATATTTTCATAGAGATAAGAATTTTTAAACTGATAACTATCTCCTCGGTTTGTAATCTGTATCATTGTAGTACATGGAGAAAGTAGAAGTAATTTAACATCATTATCAAACAGTGGACTTTCATTATCTATGGCATCATTATATTCAGGTACATCATTATAAAATATCATTTATTTATTGTAATATCATTTATCTTATAAAATATCATTTATCTTATAAAATAAAATATCATTTATCTTATAAAATATCATTTATCTTATAAAATATCATTTATCTTATAAAATATCATTTTTCTTATAAAATATCATTTATCTTATAAAATATCATTTATCTTATAAAATATCATTTATCTTATAAAATATCATTTATCTTATAAAATATCATTTTTCTTATAAAATATCATTTATCTTATAAAATATCATTTATCTTATAAAATATCATTTATCTTATAAAAAAATTTTTTTTATTTTTCCTTTTAAAATTTCACTTATCTTATCAAATGTATTTCATTTATGTATTTAATTTATGCTATGAAATTTCATATATCTCTATTGTTTATCCTCTATAGATCTCATAATATTTGTAGTATAAAATAGTATACTATTTATCATAATTTATTGTCTTATACAATATGATTTATCTGTTAGTTATAAAATACCATAGATCTCCTATTGAACTATACATATAAACTCAGCACATCTTTGTAGTGTAGTTCACAGTATCTAGATCCAATTTATTTTTTGTAATACATTTCTAATCTTCTTCTACAAAACTGCCATGTATTCACTTGAAAACATATAAGATAATACCACTTGACACAAATTCATACTAAGCAGGTGGCTACAATAGTGCAGGTGATTTTTATGTAACTTATTTGTTTTTATGTTGTTATAGATGCTGATCTCCATAGAAGTAATAGCTCAAATGATCGCTCAACGTAAGTTTTGAAGTTCTTGTCTGACTATTCAGATATATTTGGCTAAACTTTAAAAAGAGATCTATATCATTTCAAACACATTCTTTCAATTGCAATGTTGACAACTGTGAAGATGATTTGACTGAACATAGTATTAAATCCTAGTTTTTGAGCAAGAATATATTCCCTTTCATATGTGTATATTATATTATTTGTAGATTAAATCAAGAAGGATCCTATGTATCAGCAGAATCAGTAGCCATATCATTGATTAAAAAATTCTCTGAGAAAAAACTACCTAAAGCATCTGATTTAGAATGGCTAGTATCAGAGAAGGATGCTCCTCAAGCTGTAAGTATTATACAAAACATTGTTTGATAGATTAAACATTTATAAACTGTTTATTGTATAATTGTGAATATATTGTGCGCCCCTTTCTTATCCTGGAATAAATCTTTCATCTTAATTAATATTATAATAAGATAAATGGATAAATTTTTGTGTATTTAAGAAAGTTGAATAGACAAATAATAAAATTGTGGTTACTTTAGGGCAACTTATTCATATTCATTCTATTACAGTTACTGCCCTTACCTAAATCTTACCCTGTGTCTCCTGATGATGGTGAAAATTCTGATTTATTAAAATCTAGTATCCAGACTAGACTACGAGGAAATCTAGAATGGGCCCCACCTCGTGCTCAGATTATCTTCAATATTCATCCAACACCAAAGTAAGTATTCACATTTCACCTTTGACATCATTGTTGCAGCTATAACCAGGCTAGTCTTTAAATTATTTTGAGTTATTATTTTTCATATCATAAACAATGGATTGATTCAGAATTCCAAAGCAATATTTTAGCATACATGTATATAGTTGATTTCCTTACAACATTATTTTATTTGTATAGGAGAAATGTTATATTAGCTAAACAGAACTACAGATGTGCTGGGTGTGGAATGAAAGTAGAATTAGGTATTGTATTAGTATTGATAATCTTAATGTACTAATGTATATGGATGTGTTCATGTGAGTAATTTTGTCATTCCATACACAGGCAATTGGAATGCAATCAGTTAACTTTTGGCAGATTTGAATTTGTATGAACTGTCAAATTAAAATTTCAAATTTTCAAATTGGAGAATGAATCAAGATAATTTCAAATATACTAGATTTTAGATTTTTAATTCAAGTTAAAACCATCTAAACTAAATAACTTTAATCCAGTTATAGAACTTGTTTCATGATGTTGACCTTTATTTAACTTTTTATTTTTTTGTTTCAGATTACATAAAGAGATTTCGTTACTGTGAATACTTAGGGAAATATTTTTGTCAGTGTTGTCATAGCAACCAATTACAATACATACCTGGTAGAATAATACGGAAATGGGATTTTACAAAGTATCCAGTTTCTAACTTTGCTCGTGATGTTTTGACTAGATTATGTAAAGACCCTCTATTTAATATAGGAGATATAAATCCATCTATCTATCGGAAATCTAAAACTCTAGAAACTATTCGAGATTTAAGAAAACAACTATATCATCTTTATTCTTTTCTTAAAGTTTGCAAAACTGGTTTTAGGTAAGTTTTCCCAAAGATTATTATATTCCACCTAAAATATCATGTTGTTTCTCAGTAAAAGCCTGTCTTCCATCACCAATTGTGACTCTCCATGACTCTTATTTACAGTAGATGATGTTGAAAAAAAAAACAATTTTAATGAGTCAAGGCAAGGTCTATAATTGTGCAAATTGAAGATGAGATTGGAAGTATGAAGGAACTGGTAAAAGAAGATGTCTAAATATCATAGAATGATGAGTTATTTTGACAATTATTATCTTGGTAGATATAGATATGTTATAGAAATAATTATGTTTGTTGTAGTCTTTTAGAAGATATAGAGAAACTACCACGACATTGGTCAGAAGACAGTTATATATACTCACTACAAGATTTATTAAATGTAAGCTATTTCTTTATGAAGATATAAAGAAGAAATTGGATTTCCAAAACAATTTCTGTATTATATATTAATTTGTAAGAAAATCAATGAAAAATGATGATGACACTAAAGTTTGTCTGGTTTCAGACCCACTAATGGGAGATACATGTTTCAGAATCTATAATCAAGAATGTCTACCCTGCTTGTATTGTCCATTAGTAACATTATATTAATAAAAAAAATATACTATATTTTTAGGTTAAAAATGGTAGTATGTTAAACCAGTTAAAGAATATAGTATCAACTAGTTTATCACATGTTGACTCTTGCCAGGTTAGTGTGTATTTCCACATACAAGAGGAACAGCAAACAAAGTTACATTGTGTCGTTCAGTGTTTTAACAAGTGTTGAGATATATACTTTAAAAATGACTGAAAAGTTTTGTCAACTAATAGAGACATTGCCCTTTTGTTGTAATAAATATACCATACATACAACTTTCAAAAAGTTGCAATAATGAACATAAAATAATTTTATAAATGTACATGAATAATACTCTTCACTAGTATTATCAATAAGATTAACACTATTAACTATTGTTGTATTTAATTGTAGTTTTGTCAAGGTATGGGTTTTATTTGTGAAATGTGTCATGAAAACGATGTTATTTTTCCTTTTCAACTCAATAAAATATCTACATGTTCTGGTAGGGTACATAATAATGTCTTATTATAATAATAATATATGTCTATTTTATTAAATTTATATCTGGTTCTGTCTCAGATATGTTTTGTTTTTTTAAAGTATAAATTAGTTCCTAATTTTTTGGAAATATGTTCAGATTTACAATTTAAGAAATGTTATATGGGTTCTCTAAAATGAATGTTTTTCATGTGATGTTATTCTTATATATATTTATTATTTTTATTTCAGACTGCCATTCTTGCTATCATAAAGAATGTTTCGTGCCTGATAAATGCTCTAAATGTGCAAGAATTGAAGCAAGGTTAGTTATGTATCAACTCATAGACGAATACCTGATTCATCAGATTGTCACATAACATCATCTCCCTTAACATATCAATGATTATAGTTACAATAATAGAGTATTTTCACTGTTAAAATAGTGCTCAATACATCAATTGTAGAGTGATATAGAAATATTTAGACAGAACCTATGAAAACATCTTGTTGTTACTTGTTGTTTCACTCTATGCGATCTTCAAACATCAGACCTATTTATAAGTTGTACAAATATGATTATAGTTATAGTAATATAGAATCATATTGGATTATCAATAATTCATCTTATAATCATAATTATCAGTGGCTGTTAGTAGTTATCAGACAGCTTTATCTGCCTGTCGGTTCTACTCATTTAGTGTCACAATTGCGACATTCAGTCTAAATGTTGAAGAAACTGGCATAATCTAGACTAAAAAATTGAATTATTCAATTATAATCTGTTATAATACTCAGATGACATAATTCATATACTATACTATTATTATTTCAGGAGAATTCGTTTATTAGAATCACCAATAGAAGATGATGAGTCATCAGAAGATTATGATCCATCTGTTACAGTTGCTCAAACTCATTAGATTACTGCTCTTAATAAGTATATTCTACAATAAGATATTTAGGTAACTGATAAAGATAAATATCAGTCCTATTCTGTAGCTCAGTGTAATCAATGAATATTTTCAGTATTAAGTAACGGGTATTCAATATGCTGTATTACTTTTAATATCTTTGGATGTAATACATGGCATATCAATACAAAAGGTCTTTTTAGATTTTGGGCAATTGATGACGACTCCAAAGTTAAATTATAGCAGTAGTGAAAATTCAAGATATTTTTTCAGTTTTGTACCAGCAAAAAGAAACATGACATTTGCTTTTCGGCTTCTTGCTTTTTTGTTTACCTTGCATGAATTTTTCCTTTGAATCTTGAATTTCGTTCAATGCTTTCTTTTAAAATCAAGATTTAATGTCGGAAATGTGTTTGGGTGCCTTGAGTTGGGTTATATTATTTTGAGATGTTAGAAGTGATTTATATGGTGTTAAATTCTGAAATTTTAATCCACTATTATTGCTTTATTTCTGGTTAGATGTTTGTTAAATTATTAGTCTCTCATGCAATACTCAAAACTCTTTGAATTTTCTCACTTGCATGTGATGGTCCGAAATTTTTTTTCATTTCTTACTGAATTTTTGGTTTCAATTGTGTTATTTATATGAATTTCTCTGTTCACTGCTAGTCATAAAAGAAGTATTTTTGTTAATCACATGTGGCCTTAAACAGGGGATGATATTATGTGCTAAAAGAGTTTATAAGATGTTTTAAAACAATGAAATAATGTTAAACAGATAAATGGATCATAAAGTGCTATTATTACCTTGTTATTATATATTCATTATTAATTATTTATTTTGTTACAACTATTTGATAATTTTATATAAAAATGGAAAATTGGTTACAAATATATGTTAAGTTGTTTTCTTTATTGAATTTAAGGAAAAGTAGGTAGAGTTGTATGCTAATGTCTATGAGTCAATGCTTTGTGTAGGTTGATTATTCACACAGTTGAATTATAAAGCAGAAATATCATGTTAAGAGACAATGATGAAATTGATCTTCCTAATTCTTTCTTGTCTTGTCATAAAATACAATTGTTTTCAAATTTGTTCATTTGTTCTCCTTGGATTATAATAGATTAAAACAATTGGTATTCTTGAAATATACTTTAGTGTTGAAATTACTTTTTAATCTGCTCAAGTTGAGATTTCCTTGATAGGCATTAATCCAAACTTATCATATATGATATTATATTCTTTGAAGTTGATGATATTGATAGTTAGAAATAGTAATTTGTAGGCTCTGTGATCTTAGGTCTACAGCTTCCATATACTTCGAATATACAGCCTGATATTGTTGATTTATAGTAGGCTATTATTAGTTGAGATATCTGTTAATTTATCTAAAATCATGTGATATTACCTGTGATACATTATCATATGCAATAAATTATATATTATTTTTGTAATAATCTTAAAAAAAATAATTCTGAAGTTAAAATTTTATTTTGTTCCCTCTCATAAAATAAAATAAAACCTATGGCAAAACCTATGAATGTTTGGTTCAAATACAAGCCATGGTCATATTACCAAATACATAGCTCTACAATAGTTCAGGAGCAGTCATTGTCTTATAGGCATAGGCCATTTATTAAACTGGGAAATTCTCAACATCTGAGCTATTCTAGCAATCTAATTAAACACGAATAGTTGCTTGTGAAACAGTTCTAGGCTGTCAAAAAAAGGCTCGCAATGACCTCAAGGATTTTTCCTTCTCTTACGGTAGGACAAGTAGAATCATATTACAGATTCTGTGAATGGTTTAGAATATACATGTTTTCTCCACACATAAAACCTAACTCTACTAGTAAGTCTAAATTTTTTTGTTATACTTTTCACCTCAGTATAATGTTCAGTGAAAAAAATACATTAATAAAGTAATGGTAGCGCCTATTAAAAAAAAAGGATATAAAATTTACAAATATTTCGATTCCTCAAATGATAATCCAACCTTTAACTTCATTATATTGTCTTGTAGTCAACACTTGTTCCGATGGTGTTCTTTGGACTTATTTCGTTTCCTGATTGTCTAATTCATTGTTGACAAATCCAACATTTTATAAAACCAGCATGGCCGTAGCTGTAAAAAATAATCGACATCCAAGTGTTAAATGAAAGTATTGTGCTTTATTGGGCACTTCCCCTAATTAAAGTTAAACATATACAAGAATAAGAAGCTCACAATTCATGTCACTGTCACAGTCTTTACTTATTTACAGCCTACAGTTGATATGAAGTAATAATTCGAAAGGCTAAACTGAAAGTAGCCCACAGTGATTAGTGATGATGTGATACGCTAGTGACTTAACAGTGACAATCAGCTTCTTCAGTCTTCTCAAACATCCCCTAATTGTTAAAAAAAAATCTTCACTAGTTGAGGGTAGCATTTTTAGTCAGATAAAAACCCACAATGCCCAAAAAGAAAATTAAAGAAAACAGAACTAATGATCCTGGATTTTGGGCAGCAGGTCCAAACAGTCGTATAAAATTTAAAGTAGACATCGAAGAAGGAACATGGCTCCATCCAAGTGAAATCATACAAGATAAAACCAAAGCTGGTGATGATAAAGGGGTTGTTAAATCTAAAAAGCGAAAATCTCTAGAAGAAGAGGTACCGGTACCTACAAAATCCAAGAAAAGGAAATTGAAAAAAAAAAAGAAAAACTCTCAGGAACTCCACACCCAGAACACAGGCATAGAAGATGTAGAGCAGTTAAGGGATGAATATGAAAGTAATACAGAATGGAATATAAGAAGAAGCTTTTTAACAGAACACATGGAAACCATGACCTTAGATAGATTAATATGTCTATCAAAATGTTTTATAAACTATGAAATTTATGGTAATATTTATCCTAAAGAAGTAATGTTAATGTTAACAAATATGAAAGCAGCTATAGCTGATGTAATCCCTGACAGAAAGGAACGACTTAAATCCCAATATGAGGTTGAATTTGTGAAGCCTGCCAAACCTGAATCTAAAATATCAGATGCTTTGTATAATCAACAGAAAGCTCCTTCTAAAGGAATGATAAACTTTGTGAAAGCTGGAGCAAGTTACGAATGCATAAATCATGCAAAATCTGACTCAGAAGATAAAAATGAAGAAAGTCAGTCTTACCATCCTTTTACAACTCCATATCATAAACAAGGTGAAAACTTCAATGATTCACAAAAACCTGATGAATATGGCTCTCTTTATGATAAAAAGCAGGGAAGAATAGAAATTGAACAGAAAGAACAGAAAATATCATCCATGAGAAGTACATTGGAAAATCTTGAGAAAAGTAAACCTGACTCCAATTGTATCAGTAAATTTTTTGAAGCGTGTCAAAAAGTCAAGATTGTTCCACATGCTGAATCTGATATCCATTTACAAGGATTCTCATGTAAAGTATTTTTGGATGGAATTCTTGTGGCAGAAAGCATAGCAAAAAATAAAAAGTCAGCACGTTCTGATGCACACAATCTAGCCTGTGAAAAAATATTGAAACCATACCATAAATTAATTGGAACCCATCCAAACCATTTAACATTTGAGTGTTCTGATCAACCTTTTGAACCAGACAAGTGTAATGTTCCGAAAAATTATGAAAATGGAGATTCTGAAAATTTAACTGATAGTAAATCAAGTGATGAGAAATCTGTGGACCTGAAGGAATTAAGAAAAATAAATGAACACCTGAAAGATTTCTATTTTAGAGAGTTAAATGATGAGAGTTTTGACTTTCCTCTAAATTGTATGCATCAAACTTGTGCCTTTCTTAAAGTGTCTTTAGAATTGAAAAGTTTAAATTTGAAATGTGGTAAAGTGAAATGTGAGTTGTTAATTAATGGAGTTAATTGTGGACAGGGTGTTGGAGAAAAGGCCAAAGAAGCTGAACAGGAGGCTGCCAAGGATGCTGTGCAGAAATTAAGAAACATTTGCTGGACGATGAAGTATAAAACTATTGTGGATGCTGATAATGATATGTTATCAAAAGACTCGGTAATGGAAGATAAAGAAAAAGTATCTAATGAGATTGAACATGGGAAGAAATTAGGAGATTCAAATATTGGTAGCAAATTAATGAAGAAGATGGGTTGGAGTGGAGGGGGTATTGGTAAAAATCAGCAAGGCAGAGCAGAGCCAGTATTGATCAATAAAGTTGTAGAAAGATCAGGTTTGGGTGCTGATGGTAAATCTTCCCAAAAGGAACTTAAAAATGTTGTGTTTAAAATTGTGAATGATTATTATCATTCTAATGATGACACAGATATAGCTTTTGCTCCAGATTTTTCAAGTTTCGAGAGAAAAGTTATTCATGATGCCTGTCGTAAATTTGGATTGAAGAGTAAAAGTTATGGAAGTGGAGATGATAGATATCTAGTGATCAGTCGTCAGAGAACGCCACAAGAACTATATCAGTATGTCTTATCAAAAGGGGGAGAAACACATAAATATAAACTCATACCACCCTTATTGCCAGAATTCAAATAAAAAAATTACTTATTATGGGGTTTAAGTGTTTAAGGATTGAAATCAATACTTTATCCATCATAAGCATGGTGTCTCAATGTTTTACAGTTGATTTGCTGTTACTGTTTTACTTTGTATTTGGTTGTATCTGGGGTTTTTTTTAAAGAAACTTTACTATTGACCATGTCACAATTCCAACCAAATTAACAATCTAATAAAAACTGATTATTGTATTTGACTGGCATTGATTTGTGCACAATATGTTATAGAGGTTCTGTGATATCTCAATATGCTTCAATTATGTAATCCTCTGCCCCTATTTCAGCCTCTGATAGCTTATAGCTTCTCCAGCCAACAACTGTCAAAATAGCTAACAGTACTGGAATAGAGGCAGATGTTTTGGACTTATTATTATATTGATTTTTATACTTGTATTTGGTTCTGGGGATACTTTCACTCATCCTAGATCTAAAAACATCTGGCAGAAAACATTGCAAAGAAATGAGCTTAATCTTAATTAAGTCTTAATTTAAGTTTCTTATATGACTTTTTCTTCTTTCTTTCTTGTATTGACTAATCAGAAGTCATTAACATTCTAAATTATTGTAATTGTTTTATTATGGTAAGAAAACCAGATTGAAGTTTTCCGTATTCTTTCATCTTTATGATTAGAAAACCAATCAATATAAATCTTGTGATTTGAAATTCATTTAAATGCTTAAACAGTCAATCACGTTTTGTTATAAAACACAAAAGTATACCAAAGGATAATCACTTATATTTTAAGACATTATGAATATACAACACCTTTTTAGATACATCAAAATATTCCGATTTGATACCTACATGTATATAAGAATTATATAGATTATATTCTTTAAAAAATTATGCTGAACCCAGCAGCTTATTTCCTGTCATTTATTTTGCAAAATGATCTGGGCATATTCTGTGGTCTAAAAATGATTATTTCACCATATTTCCTAGATAGAGTTCCAGGAAATCCTTTAAGGAAATGGAATCATTTGAAATTTGATTATAAATGTTAATGTAGAAGAACTTAATTATTGTTTTATTATTGTTTGGGAAAAGAGAACATCGTTATTGATACATTTTGTACTTTTAAGCCCACATGGAAATGTGGACATAGATTGTCATCTTCCCTGTCTGTCTGTTGGGGAGTTTTCACCCTATCATGTATGTTGTACCTATCATGTATGTTGTACTTTTTTCAACGTAAAATTCATTAACTGAACAAAATAAGATATCGTAGAAGTGTTTCAATCCAACTCATGTATAAAAAAAGACAACAACAAAAATATTTTCACAAAATTTTTGAGAAAAAAAATCAAACTCGTAGCAAACACACACTCTAGCTTTTTCTAGAATCAGTTTCAAAAGTCTGCTATCTGCTTCTATTTTGAAATGTGTCTTAATAGAATAGTCTGCTAATATTTCCTGTCATTTGACGAATCTGAATTTTAGCTAAATTGCCAGTAATACTAGAATTGAAAATAAATCCTGAAAAGGGGAGATAATAGTGTCGACTCTTAATATTATCTGTATCAGGATAAGATAAGAGCATGTTTGTAATGATCAGGAAACTGTGACTATTGTCACTTCTGCTTTGACATCCTAATAATGACAATCCCTGTAGTTCAATTTAACATCTAAGGTGATGAAACAATGACATATTTTTGTGATCACTTAATGTATTGATTTTTGTAATTTTCCGTCTTTACACAAACATTTTTAATATTTGATTGGGGCATTGTATGAAAGAAAACAAAACAACAATGAAAGTTTTAAATCTTGTCTTTTAAAAAAATGTCAGTTAACAAGTTGATCTTTCTTCTTCTTTTCTTTTCCTGCTAATATGGCTTGTTTAAATAGCTCACAATATAATTTTATAGCAACAGGGGTATCATCATTAGCAGGAATAGGGTAAGATATTATTCGTGGGTCACAATTTGTATCTACTATTCCAATAGTTGGAATTAAAAGTTTGGCAGAGTCAATAACACCTGTATGAGTTTCAAAAACACTGTTTAAAACACTGACAAATATACACAAGTCAGGTAATCGTGTGGCTCCTTTGTATATAACATTAGAGTTAGTAAAAGAACCACCTCTCCAATATCTACAATGGGCATATTCACCACAATCTTTAGCCGTCTGTTCCACAATGTCTAATGTTTGTCTATAACGGCTTGCAAATAATATAACTCCACCTCTATAAGCAATATGGGCTGCAAAGTTCAAGGCATCCTGCATCATAACTTTAGTTTGTTCCAAATCAATAATATCTAAATCAAATCTGGTTCCAAATAGAAATGGTGCCATGTATGGATCCCTACATCCTGTTTTGTGGCCCAAATGAGCTCCCACCTCAAAAAGACTTTTTACAGTAACCAACTTTCTAACTCCAAAATAATCATCATCAAGAAATTCTTTCGGTTCTTCTTCCATGAAAGTTCTTTCATCTTGTTGCTGTATTTGAGGCAAAGAAGCTGGAAGCAAAATGAAATAAAACCTATTAAATAGGTTGAATGTAGGATAACAATTAACATGAAACAATCTATAACTGTGTTAAATACAACTTCTGTGTAGTTAATATAGTATAAAACTGACAAGTAGTAGACAACTTTGTATGCTTCTGCTGACTGTGCTGATCCATTGAATGAGAGTTGACACTGTGATATATATATATATAACAGTGATATTTCTTGATAAGGGTCTTCACCAGTAGCATCTCATATTCCAGCACACATCATACTGAACTAGGCATAAGCTTATTGCATAACAACTTGATAGTTGAATAGCATAATCAAGATACGCAGACAAAAAACAATAACATACCTCTTTGATGACTGGTTGGTGTAGTTTTGGAGTAATATTTGCTGGTAGATCCAGAATATATAATCTTTAGACCTAAAACAATGAAGAATGAATATGAGTCAATTTTATAATGATTCAATCTTTCTTTTTACAAGAGCGGAAAGGGTTATTTTCAGCCAAATTTTGCTATGTTTGGTGGATTTTTCACATTTCTTTATCATTGAACAATAGGCTAAGCTTTGTACGCTTAGTTACACATTGTCATTGTTTGATTGAATATGAAACTTTGAAGGCAATGAGGATAAACACGAGGCAGTTTTAGGCCATATATATCTTTTTTACTCCACAAACCTAGACTTTTCTATTAATTCTGTATGATTGTAAACAATAGAATAAAATTAGGGTGGAATTACCCTGGAATGGAGAAAATATTGTATTTCGTCGGAAAATCTGCATCAAGGGCGCAGCCATTTTGAAAAGGGAGGCAACTGTGTTCTGAACCTTTGACCTAGTTTTTTTCCATGTCCTTAATTTAGACAAACTTGTTTACATTTTTGTTATGATAATAATGTAGTCAGTAGACTATCCTGTTTTTGGTGTATAGACAGGTATATTTTTGTACATTAGCCTACTGTAGGACAAATTGATCTAGAAAAACAAGAATAAGATTTTAACCCGAGTGAGTCATCAAAAAGACTGTCTAAGCTAGGCCATTGGCATTGGCTTGGAAGTTTGGATTGTGATTTGTGTTCTTTTCCTGGTTATTGTGAACCCCTGTCTACCTTATTCCTATTGATTACTTTATATTTATCTTCTTTATCAAGGTAATGTAATCGACTTATTTTTTTTGAAAGAAAAATTTTAGGCAGGTGTGAAATACAGAAGAAATGCTATGTCAGAGTAGCAATTTGAGTCTAAAATAGGTAAATGGAAACTGATTATGGTGAACAGTGTTTGTTAAAGGTATAATTCACAGACAATAGCTTACTCTAGCAGCTATATTTAAAATAAATTTACGACAGAGTAGACTACACATACATTTTGTTGTCAAAACCCTAAAACTAACAATAACAAAGACCCAACAGGCAACTTGTGTCTGAGCCTTCGTTTATTTTTTTTAGCAAAAACACCTATATTTATTATAAGCTGCTTATAATTTGTTCTCCTTTTGTTATGTGCCTGTGGTTGTGAAAGTTAGCTAACTCAGTAACAAGACTGTAATACATAATATGTGTATAATGTAATTGTGTTTTATTGTATTGGTACCTATCTTTAGTGAATTAAGCTTTACATTCATTTTCCTTTATAAATAATTTATTTTTCTATTGGCAGGTTCTGAAATGGAAGAAGTAAATAGGCGAATACCATTTGCTACTCAACAAATATTCAGTAATTCCATCGAATCTAATAATGAGGAAATTTTTATGAGGCATGTTGCATTTTATCGAAAAGATAGAAAATACCCTATCAATATACAGCAAGGTGTTCTAGACTGTTGTCAACATGGTCGAGTTGAAATGCTTAAAATACTTCTTGCATTTAACTCAAATGTTAATTTTCAAAATTTAGAGAATCGTCGAGCTTTACATTTTGCTGTTCTGAGTGGTTCATTAGAAATAGTGAAGATGATAATAAGTGCTGGATCTGCTGTCAATTGTTACGATAAAATGTCTTATTGTCCAATACATTATGCTTGTGAAAATGGTTTCGCTGAAATAGTTCATTATTTGATTCAAAGAGGTGCTCATGTTACATTCTCTAAAATATTTACTAGTGGAGAGACACCTTTACATGTTGCCTGTAGATCCGGTCATGTAGAAGTAGTTAGAGTTTTGTTAACAAATGGTGCTGATATCAACTGTAAATTAGATCAAACAAAGAATTGTCAGTTAACTCCCTTACATCTTGCTGCTAAACATAATAAATGCGATGTAATAGACACTCTCTGTAGCCGAGGAGCAAATGTGAATGCTAGAAGTTCAATAGGGATAACACCTTTACATATAAGTGCTCAAGTTGGGGATGTGAATGCAGTAAAAACATTATTAGAATATGATGCAGATGTATCAATAAGAGAGGGTAGTGAAAGGGGCGAGTCAGCTTGTACTCTAGCAATATATGAGGGACATGTTGAAGTTGTTAGAACTTTATTAGAGTTTGAACCCAATGTCCATTGTCACAGTTCACATGGATTCTCTGCTCTAAATGCTTCTATCAGTGGACCAAATCACCAATGTTTTGAGATATTGATAAAATGTGGAAGTGATATCAATGAACAAACTGATAATACACAAGAATCACTGTTAATGATAACAGTAGGGTTAGGTGATATTCCTAAAATACAGTCATTATTACAATATGGTGCTAATGTTAATTTACCAGATTTTAAATTTTATACACCTTTACACAGATCACAGATTATTAAAGGTAAGTGTCTTTTGAAACATATTAAATTCCTTTCCCTTTTCTAGCAGTTATTCCACATTCTATAACAGAACTTGTATTCTTATGTATCATTAAAGCTTTTTAAGTCAGCTAGTCAGACAAACGTCTCCAAACCTATCACATTTATCAAATGTGTTTCAATATAAGAAAATGTAGAAATGTATATTTCAGAAAGTAATGATGTGAAAAAAGAAATAGCTAAAATATTAATGAAGGCTGGTGGTAAACTAAATGCAACAGATCGTGATGGGTTTACACCATTACACAGAGCTATATTTACTAATGTATTACGTGGTGAACAGTGTCGACCTTGTATACAGTTACTGGTAGAATCTGGTTGTCGTTTATTCCCTGGTCCTCCACCAGATATCAGAAAAAGGTAACTGCACATTAAGACTTTTACTAGGACTTAATGATAATAAACAGCTATGAAAATTAGTTTCAGCTATATGTATTCTTAGCACTTTTTAGAATAGAAATCCTTCTTTGAGTGGGCCATTTTATATCCATTTAAAACATTTTTTAATTTGACCTATCTAAATTACTTTTTATTGATGAACCTTTTTGGTTACTATCAATATAACAATCAAAACTATAAGTAGATTTTACTGTGGTATTATCCTGCTTAGTTAAAACTTAGTTCTTGTCTCCTAATTATTTTCAGCCAATCCCCTCTATGCTGGTTAACATGGAATGGTCAATATGCTATAGCTGAGTATTTAGTACAAGCTGGTTGGGATATGAGTTTAGAGACATGGATAAATATTATACCACCAAGACAACAACAATATAAACTACAACAACAATTTCAACAAATAGCTGGTAATACACGAGCATTGAAACATTACAGTAGAAAAACTATTCGTGATAGATTATTGGTGGTAACTAAAGATCGTGATATTATCCCTTCAATATCACAATTACCATTACCACAATCATTGAAAGGTTATTTATGTTTACATGATTGTCAGTTTAAATCTACTGATTATTTTGATAATTTATAGGAACACTTCAATATCATAAGCTTGTTGCTATAATATAATATTTTTACTGTTAAAATAGTGCTTAAAACATCAATTGTAACTTTTGTAACCTGAAACATGTTGTTACTCAGAGTTTCACACTGCCATCTTCAGATCTAAAACTTTTGATATTGATGCATTTTATTATATTCCTGTAATAAATTAATTTATTGTGGAATTATGTAATTTCTCACTGTCCACTTTATTTGGAACATTTACCTTCTCATTTTGATTTATAAACCCTGTGCAGACAATAACACATATTATATGGCTATACATTTCAACCAATTAGTGAATATGATATATCAAGTGTTGCAGCATATGATGTAAATTCATCTTTGAAGAAAGGCAGGATTTTTAGGTAAAAAGGAGTTGCTTTCTAATATAATTCCTTTGACACAGCACTGACTTTTCCCCCATCAGACTACTTCCATTAAACCAGAGGCTTTTCAACAACTAAATAGAGATATTGTGAGACACAATGGCATAAAAAATATCTTCTTCAAATCGAGAGAATTTATATCCATTGTTTCAATATACATAGTTTTAAACAATTAATTATATAAGTATTAATTCACATCCCAGACATGTTCAACAACAGACAAGAAAGAACAGGCTACTATGCTAGAATGTTAAATACATGTACATAGTAAATGAAATAGTATACAGTGTTTTTAATTGACATATTTCCCCACATGAAACTATTAGTGTTTATATTTGGAATTGTTGATAGAGTAGAAATATCTTGGGCTAACCACCGCCTATAATGAAATTATTGTTTTTCCCATACTCCAGATAAATATTAACAGTCAATCTCCTCACCAAGCACTATTTGGATTGAGCAGCAGCACTAGCAATATTTTCACCCAAAGCTTCCAATAATTCATGTCTATAATCATCAAAACCACCTTCAATCTCATTGATTGTCTTGTCTTCCACAACCCATAACTGACAATCTGTATCTCTTATTAATCTTTCATCATGACTGACTATAACTACACCTAGAATATACAAAATACTTTCAAAACATCTTTCATTGTAACTATTGTAAGATATTAAGGGAAATATCTGATTACCCTGTCTGTATGAGCATGTGTACATTGATTAATATGATATTCCTACCAGATATATTAAGTAAGCTGAAATATCAGGATAGGCAGAGCATTTAATAATAAATCAAATATCAATTTTACCTCCTTCAAAATGTCTGATAGCTTCAGCTAGTGCATCAATAGATTCTATATCTAAATTATTGGTAGGTTCATCCTATAAAATAAATATAATACAATAATACTAAATATAGTAACCAGTTGAAAAAAAATGTCTATTTAATATACTGTTATTTACTAAGACTTTAGGCATGGGCACTCAGTCTTGGAATATTGTCCCATCAAAAAGACAAGACACTTTTTCCATCTCAACCTCTCCAACCTGCATCACTTACAGAGATAGGTACGAATATCAAGTATTGTCTCAATATATGCGTCATAAAACCCTGAATCCAGGTAAACAAGCAAGAATATAACTCATTGAGCCATCTCATCTTCATTTGACATACATTTGAATCTAATCAAGTGATGCAGGAATACCTACCAAGATAAGAACATCAGGAGCTCGACATGTTAAATCAGCTAGAGCAACTCGGGCTTTCTGTCCCCCAGATAAATCACGTATCAATATAGTATGGGCATGGCTGGGTAATCCAAACTTTCCTAATGTCTTGCGGCAATCTTGAATAGGCATATCAAATAATCTTCTTAAATATTCTACTGAAGATTCATCTAAATTTAACTGATCTGCTGAATGTTGATTGTATATACCTAACCTCTGTAAAATATGATGTTATTCATGATATCTACTTACATATTGATTAAGCTTCAGAGCTCAATTTCAACTAATCATAATACTTATCAGAAATTTACAGTGAATTGCAAATTCCTTTTAAGGTTCTCCTTTATAGTTGTCATGGTATTATAACTTCATTAGGCATAACAGCCAGCTTGCAAAGCAATTATTTAGATACCAATCACTTTAAAATTAAGATGACTTATAAGTGGACTAGGGAATCTCATTTATGAAATGAATAAACTACCGCCACAATATACTTACTAATCTATGATTCTTTCTTACTTCTCCTTTAACCTGAACAAAACAATGTATTTCCTCAGTAATAAACATGTATTTCCAAATAACCTTATAACCAACCAACAGACAGACAAAATAAACTTTGTAATCTGTGACAATAAAATATTCAGGATAAAAAAAATTCATTTACACTGATAACACTTACCTACATTATGCTTATTATACTGTCATGGTTATAAATAAGTTGGAGGTAGAAGGTACAAGATATAATAAATATTAACTTACTGGTTCTAGTTCTTGAACTAACATTTTTAATAAGGTACTCTTTCCTACACCATTAGGCCCAACAATAGCAACTAAAATATAAAATTACCACATCTTATAAGACACTACACTAAATCAAATCATCTCAACATTTCTCATATTTTATTAATGTCTTACACAGTTAAACTTTACAGTATTTTCTATATATAGACTATAAACGTACTTCTAGACTGCATATCTATACCAAAATCTACATTTTCAAATAAATTATCTTGTCCTTTATAATTAAACCATACAGCTACAAAATATAAATAATAATCATTTACTATTAAAGGTAAAACAGTGCAATTTTGAACTTTTAAGTTGTCATCAACATCAACAAGTACATTATGAAACTATATGAATACCATCTCTATTTCTAACTGACCAAGTTTTTCTATATTTGAAGGAATTCATTAAAATTTTGTGATCTACTAAAAAAAAATAACGAGCAATGCTGACATGATAGTGAGTAACCATAACTTTATTTCCAACTTACAGTAGAGACCTAAAATAGGCGGACTGAGTGGAGCTGGATTTGGAAATCGGAATTTAACAACATAATCTTTAGGTTTCTGCATTAATTCTGTTTTTTCTTCATTTTCAGCAAAAGCTTGTTTAGATTTGTTTTTATCTTTATTTTTCTTTCCTATCATTTCCTTCTGTTTAGCTTCCTGAAATAGTATTATTATTTATAAACATATACAATATATATTTGTCTTTAAAGACACCTGGAAAAAAAATAAGCTTGGGGACATACCATTTCTTTGAATAGATTGATCATGTATTAAGCCATGTGCAAGTATACAAATCATTCAAGATAGCCATATAATTTGACTTTGTTACTGTACCTTGAACTTATCATTCTCAATTCACTAGATATCATCTCATGCTGCTGATGTTTGATTGGAATACACAATCCTAATCAAGACAGCTAGATTTGAAATGGAGTTAATTTTCTATATTGAACTTTTGATGTATAAGCAAAGTAAGCTAAACAATGGAACAGTGCAATTTTAAAAGACTACTAACAATAATCAATGTCCAATATCAATAATCAATATCTTCAATATTTAGTTGATTAAACTTACAGCCTGTTTAGTAGATTTTCCTGAAGCTTTCATATCTTTTAGTTTCTTTTCTTGTTTATCATATTCTTTCTGTTGTTCTTTTCTCTTCTGTACAAACATTTTCTTGAAATTAGCTGAAATGTTTGAAAATATCAATTGTTTACCAAAGATTATTTTTAGAAAAATATGTGTTTTTTTAACACGAATGACATGGATCTTTTTTCAGAAGCAGGGGTAAGGTTCTTACAGGAATGTGTAAAGGAATCTGAATGGCTCTTAGAAATATATTTCACAATAAACTAATAATATAATATAATAAGAATATAAATCTAATGCTGTATAGCTGTCAGTAAAAAACAATTCAACCTCTATAGTTGATAGTATATGCAGATAGACACCTACCATAATTGCCTTTATAATAGAAGAGTTTCTGCATATCTAAATGTATTATATCTGTACAAACATTATCTAAAAAACTCTGATCGTGAGAAACAACTAATAATGTCTTCTTCCACTGTTGTAAATAACTATAAATATCAAATAAACACTCTTATATCAAATAGTTTTCCACAGGAAGACACCAGTTATTAAAGTGTTGACAATAAAACCATAGAAAATAGACAGATCTATATCATGTTACTGACTTGCACACTGTAAACTAAGATAGTGGACCGCAGCCATATATGCCCACCACGGCATGCGGATGCTAAATATTCAAACGTATGGGGCAAGGGCAATAACTCTGCTTCTAACGGTCGAAAATAGCTCAAATTCGAACTTGATGTTCGTTTTATGTATATGTATACACATACCGAATTTCATTTGATTCCATTAAAAATCTAGTTTTTAGAGCATTTAGAAGCAAATATTGACGGACCGACGGACCTTCATTTCATGAATATGTATGCACATAGGGCCTACCGAATTTCATTTGATTCCTTCAAACACTCTAGTTTTTAGAGTGTTTACGAGCAATTGATGTTGATAGAAGCACTTACTGTATAAAGGTTAAAGGGCGATAACTCCTCAAACTGACGTAAGAGGCCTAAATCTTGAAAAAGCCTTAAATTTAATCAGAAGTAAACTAAACTTTCTTAAACCTTTCGATTTAGGTCCAATAACATCCATTTTAAGTTTCATCAAAATCGGTTAAAAACTAATAGAGTAATAGCATATTCAAGATTTTGGGGCAAGGGCAATAACTCTGCTTCTAACAATCGCAAATAGCTCAAATTCAAACTTGATCTTCGTTTTATGAATATGTATACACATACCAAATTTCATTTGATTCCATCAAAAAAATCTAGTTTTTAGAGCGTTTGCAAGCAAATGCTGATGGACAGGGGTGGTGCCGACAATATAAATCCACATAGAGAGATGTGGGCGTATAAAAATGATAAATGGCGCTAATTCATATCCTTGATAAAGATCAAAAAGAAAATAAATTTTAAAAAATATTCATGCTTACTTGTCTAACCAAATGACAGCATTTAAATCTAAATGATTTGTAGGTTCATCTAACATCAATAATGTTGGTTCTAGAAATAAAGCCCTGTTAAAAGTACAAAATTAAATAATTTGGAAGAAATATGCAACATTTTCGTCAATTAATTTTAGAACAATAAGAACCATATCACTAACACACACTACACCTTCCTAGTAGTCTGAGGAAATACTTTGTTGTTTAGCGTTAAATTTAGCTTAGCATGGTAGCTTCATAATATATTTTAACTTATGACTATTACACAAAAGAAGTCAATGCAAAAAAATTATTTGATAATATTGTCCTGCATATTAATTAGATATGTTCATAATGGATCATGGATGGTGACATGTAAAAATACAATTTAACAAACCTAGCTAAAGATACCCTCATTCTCCAACCTCCAGATAAATTTTTAGTAGCTCTTTCCATCATTTCTAATGTAAAACCTAAACCAGCTAAAATTCTTCTAGCTTTACCTTCTGCTGCATCAGATCCTATAGCATTTAATTCTTCATATACCTATAATCAACAAAGGCAATAAAAGTAATATTCATCTTGATTCAACCCAATACCTTTATTTATTTCATCCTGACAAAGCATATCGTCGGTGGGCTTCCAAAATCGCGAATATGCAGAATTCAAAATTTTTCAGGACAGACAAAAAACTGCATAACTTTGTTAATAATGGAAGAATAATGTTAGTTTTTGGTATATATAGTTCTTATGCGTCTTTACATACTATGCTGGTACATTTTTGTGTGGGTCTACATTCGTGACGTCAGAAATGGATATACGCGATTTTGACATTACAATTTGAGAAAAATGATGTTATACGTCATTTTGATTTTAACAGATAGACATGTTTTATGAATATTTTTATGATATAATGAAAAATATATCATTCAAACGAGTTAACAAATTTTATTAAAAAAATAAATCATTTCAATAAAAACAAAGAATGACGATATCTACTTGATATTCTGTATGAAAAGAGTGTACTGCAAAATAAATCTCAAAGAATGAAATTAAAACGGCTTAGTTACTATCACAATAAAATATAACAATACAAATAAACTCATTCTCAATGTGGATTAGATGGGCATGAGTTAATCGTGAATAAGGCCATCATAAAACGGGTGGTAATCCTTAGGAATAACTGCTTTTAGTTCCTGCAAATGTTTGTATTTCTTTGCTTTGATTTTTGGTTTTACATCATA